CGGTCAATCCCACTATTCGTTGGTAAAAGAGTAGCCCTAAGAGTTGGCGGTGGGTGGTGATGACTAGCTGCCTTCCCTCTAAGTCTTACACTGCTAAAATTAGGGACGGCTAGCGCAGATAGCCCTCGTGTAGCGTTGCGCGAAATTCCAAAACAAACAAACAAACTGAACTTCAATAATGAATACCTACTCTCCATTAGAAGGGAACAATCTGACACTACTACTAGTAGTAGTAGACATCTTTGTCTCGCAAGACTATAGATTAGGCACATAAAAGTGACTAATTCTTTAGACAATGTTTTTGTATGGCTGTATAGTTCTACTTGGGACAAGCACACTCTGTTGCAGTTTGAGCAGGAAAAGTTTGTTGTTGTTGGACATAGAGGCTATTATACTAAATTCTTTCTGATTATCCTCTTTTTTCTTCATAGAATTTATCTTTGGCTTCAGCAGAGGAGTGAAAGGTTGGAGAGCCATCTGATGTTGAGACATTAACAAGAACCAAAATTCACATCACCATCTAACAAAAAAATCAATAAAATATGTGTATACAAAATGGGGAACCAGCTTTTCAAGGCTGGAAGAAGCACATAATAAATGTCTAGAAACAGTTGTATATGAATCACATCAAGTAAAAAAACAAAAAAACTCATGATATACGAATTTGTAAAAGAAAAAAAAATACAGTGGAGATTTCTCGATAGTATTAAATGTTTACACATATAATATTTCACGCATGTAACGTAACAGGCTTAACTTGGCTGAGTTAAAGCGTGTAAAAAGTATATAAAAAAGCTCATTTAGTGTAAAGCGAGATTTATTCTTAGATTTAAAATTGTTTAAGTCATATCATAGCTTAATGACATTTCTAAGACAAAACAAAAAACATTTTCAACCTCTTCGCTCCATTAGCAAATAAGTCAACAACACGATCTCTTCACTGCTGGCGATTCTAAGCTAATTTTTGAGTTGTTCTCCAGTTTTAGTAGAGCTTTTGGAGCTCTGCCCCTGCTGTTCTATGCCATTCCGTATTTGGGCAGCCTCTCTTTTCCTTATTTTTTGGCATCCATCTTAAGGCTACCTTGAGAATGTCGTTATTCATCCTTACGAAGAATGTTCTTGATGTATTTCCATCTCATTCTAAACAGGGTGGTTAAAATAAGCAGTTTTTTCTTGGAGAGTTGTTTGTGGCTAAGTATCCGTGTTATTGTTTCTTATACATCTTCTCTGGAAGCAAGCAACGTTTCTTTAGATGAGATCGACCATTTTCCAGCATTCTGATCATTATACATAGAACGGTTGACAGTACTCAACTCTGACAGATTCTGAATCAAGTTTTTCTAATCAGCTGTTCTTGATTTCCATACAAGTCTGCATTTGTATTCTTGCTTTATCAATTGTATTCTTAATGTCCTTTGTGAAATACGGTAGGAAAAGGGTGGTATGGAACTCATTTCATCTTTTCAAAGTCTGAAAGGTGTTGCTTTATACCCGTTCCTTTATCGAAATGCCATAAACTATATTTCGGACGTTACCTATCATTTTGAGACTTGCCTATAAATATTGCGTAGTATAATAGATCACATTCCTAAACTTTATTTACATTAATCACTCATTTAAAGCTATAAGTAAAATAAAACGAATGTACATGCTCAAACGACTTTATTTAACTACCAACAGAAGTGAGGAATTACATAAATGAGTGAAAACGATTTATCTTTGATTGCACATTCACTATTTTACTACAGGCCATTTATAGTCTTTCTAAGAAACTACCAGATTCACAACGGGTTAACATGCTTTTTTCTACGTTTTATGTAAGATGTTATATTATTTTGTTCACATTCAACGTTTCACTGGATTCACTCTCGTCAAGGTAAAACTCAATTTCTTTCTCCAACCAGAACGTCCGGACCAAACCTTTTCCCTGTTAGGGGAAATAAAATATATACGAAAATGTAAGGTTTTGTTAACTTCGTGTTAGAACATATTTCAAGGTAATTTCAGTCAGTTCTGAACAGTTTGAATTATTATATGACTGTAGTTATCAATAATCCATACACTGATTAGGACTATAAAAGAGGTAATCACCAATTGTAGGTATAAGAAAATGAAAATTAATTGTCGAAAAAAAGTAACTTGACACATTTAAACGAAACATGATAAATCAAGAAAGTATTTTGTAAAGTAAAATCCAATGTTTTTAAAGTTGATTTTTCATGGAGTGTTGATCGTTACGTAAAACTGTTTTATTAGAATGGCCATGGTAAAATCCAATCACCACAGATAAGGAAAAGAATCTTGAATAATGAAGCCAAACTTTTCAACGATGTAGAGAAACTTTGATTTGTACTTCTGTCTAAAGTTGGCCACAAAAACAAGAAACACATAGTCCAATTTACATGATTCTATATCTAAGTATGAATAACTCGAGAAAAACTTCACTGGAAACTTATGTGAAGAAAAAAAAAGAACATATAGTCGATAGAATTATTTAAGATCAGTTATTGTTTAAAGTTTAAAATGGGCAGCAAATGAAAGTCTAATAAATAAATAAATATGTCTGTGACGACATTTAACAAAGCGCTGGTGAATCAACTGTATGAAATAGCAGTTGAGAATTTATTATACCAGATTGTTAATCATTTCATTTCTCCATCTTTATGTTTAGAACTGAGCGATTATAAGATTTCAATAATAAAAAAGTTAATCATCAAGACGTTGTAATACATTAAACAATTGAAAAATACAATTAACTTAAAAGGTTGTAATACATTAAACAAATGAAGAATACAATTAACTTAAAACGTTGTAATACATTAAACAATTGAAGAATACAATTAACTTAAAAGGTTGTAATACATTAAACAATTGAAAAATACAATTAACTTAAAAGGTTGTAATACATTAAACAATTGAAGAATACAATTAACTTAAAACGTTGTAATACCTTAAACAATTGAAGAATACAATTAACTTAAGCCATGGTAATAGACTATACAATTGAAGAATACAATTATCTTAAGACGTCGTAATAGATTAAACAACTGAATAATACAATTGACTTACAACGTTGTAATACATTAAACAATTGAAGAATACAATTAACTTAAGACATTGTAATAGACTAAACTATTGAAGAATACAATTAACTTAAGCCATGGTAATAGACTATACAATTGAAGAATACAATTAACTTAAGACATTGTAATAGACTAAACTATTGAAGAATACAATTAACTTAAGCCATGGTAATAGAGTATACAGTTGAAGAATACAATTATCTTAAGCCATGGTAATAGAGTATACAATTGAAGAATACAATTATCTTAAGACGTTGTAATACATTAAACAATTGAAGAATACAATTATGATTTAAATAAAATAGGTTATTAGAAATAGCTCATTACTTTAATTGATAGAAATTAATAAAACAAACCAAATGGTAGTTATTAGTTATACGACATAAACATGTAGAGATATGTTTGCTAATCAATCCTTAACTTTAAACCTACTTTATTAGAAATCTACTCCTGTAGATTGTTGTTTAACGTAGAGTTTAACGTGTGTTTGAAATTATATCTCAAAATAATTTAATGTTCTCAGTACTACTAATTATCTCTCCAACACCAATTTAGTAAATTTACATGAAAACACAAGTTGTGTGTTCGCCTTTATCAGGAGTAAATAATAAAATAATGAAATAAATATATTCACTTTTATTGTGTTTTTACTCTCTACACTCTTATAAATGGTACTTTTAAATCCACTACCTTCAGAATAATTAGGTTCAACTTCTTGTTATATTTGGCTATTAATCCACTACCTTCAGAATAATTAGGTTCACCTTCTTGTTATATTTGGCTATTAATCCACTACCTTCAGAATAATTAGGTTCAACTTTATGTTATATTTGGCTATTAATCCACTACCTTCAGAATAATTAGGTTCAACTTCTTATATTTAGCTATTAATCCACTACCTTCAGAATAACTAGGTTCAACTTCTTGTTATACTTGGCTATTAATCCACTACCTTCAGAATAACTAGGTTCAACTTCTTATATTTAGCTATTAATCCAATATCTTCAAAATAATTAGGTTCAACTTCTTGTTATACTTGGCTATTAATCCACTACCTTCAGAATAACTAGGTTCAACTTCTTATATTTAGCTATTAATCCAATATCTTCAAAATAATTAGGTTCAACTTCTTGTTATATTTGGCTATTAGTCCACTACCTTCAGAATAATTAGTTTCAACTTCTTGTTATATTTGGCTATTAATCCAATATCTTCAAAATAATTAGGTTCAACTTCTTGTTATATTTGGCTATTAATCCACTACCTTATTAATAGCCAAATATAACAAGAAGTTGAACCTAATTATTCTGTAGTTTATATGAAGATATCTTTATTAGTATGTCGGTCAGTATATGTAGTTGTATATATAGCTACAACCAAACTAGGAATTGATTACACTGTTTATATATATATGTAGTTGAAACAAATCAACTAATACACAAGTATACTTTCTTTATTCTAACTTGGTGACTTAAGTATATTATACTAATCGTTACCTTTGTTATAAAATCATACTATTTCACAATTTACAGATGTAAAAGTAGTAATAATATTTAACTTTTCACAGAACTGAAAATCCACATCAGTTCTGAAACAAAAAGAATATTGGATCATTTCGGCACATTTTATCTGTCACTTCGTGGTGAAACTGAATTGAAGGTGAGTTTTATAAGAAATTTATATTACTTTTTTATTAATTAATTATATTTAAATTTAAACCTGTTTACTTCAAAACATATTTACGTGTGGTTTCATACAGGAGTAAAGCTTTGAACAAATTTAAATCGTAAGTTATAAATTTGTTTAACATAAAAACCTTTGTTATAATACATTTTCTAATGAGGTCGATGATAAGGTAATTAAGTATAGTAACAAATTCAAAGAATAAAGTAATAGTTACAGATATTAATGATATTTTTAACAAACCAAGTTATTTCTACCTTCGCCACTTGATTCCATAAGAGCTGCCGTGTTTACTGTGTCTCCAAATAAACAGTACCGGGGCCTCTTCAATCCAACCACTCCTGCTGCACAAGGTCCTGAGAAATCATCAATTCACACCATAAAGTACTGTGTTGAAGTGTAAACATTAACAATTATATTGGAAAATAATCTCACCAGTGCTAAAACACGTCGTAGTTAGAAACACGAATTAAATTATTTGTAAGTATTATCTTCAGGTGATTTTTCAGATTGACATTAACAGCTTTGTTGTATTGATTTTTGAGTCTATAATGTTGTTAAACTGTCGAATGTTTGATGTTTATGACTCACTAAAACAAATATTCAATCTGTATAATTACTGTAAAATACTTATCTCAAATATGTATAAGTTATGGAAACAAACCTATGTTTAATTTATATTACTATAAATTACTGTGGGTGTTTAGAAGGAGACAGGACTTTACTTTTTTACAGGAAACTTTATATCATATTTATCAGGTAACAACCAATAGTGTAGATAAAGCGTACATCAATTCCTAACATATTTCTCGTTAAGAATGACATATTTAATTTGTCTTTGTTTAGGTTTCACCGTATAAATTCAATTAAATGCAGGTGTGGTGTTAGGAATCCAACTGTACACAGGTGTTTAAAGAATATGGGTTGTCTGAAAAGTGTTATCCATACATATTAGTTTTCAGAAGATCAAAAACTGGTAGTCACAGGTTAATGGGTCAGGAAAGTATGAGGGATGATCTTCATGGTTAATGGGTCAGGAAAGTATGGGGTGATCTTCATAGTTAATCGGTCAAGAAAGTATGGGGGTGATATCCATGGTTAATGGGTCAGGAAAGAATGGGGGATGATCTTCATGGTTAATAGGTTAGGAAAGTATGGGGGATGATCTTCATAGTTAATGGGTCAGGAAAATATGGGGAGTGTGATCTTCATTCCTGTTTTCTCACATGACTTTTTACACAAAAATCGTCGTGAAAATTGACATTATTATTAGGTTGTAGAGGAAGTTCTTCTAACAACGGACGGATATTGACCTGTTGCCACGAATGATTGTTTGTCTAATTTATTGACATTAAGTGTACGGGAGCTAAAACACTTCCAAATAATACATTCGTAATTCTATATAAAATAGTAAATATTTGAATAATATTTCAAGATCTATTTAATTATAAGATATTGATTAAAACCTTCTTTGTTTAGCCTTATACGAATATTAACAATCTCACCTGAATGGACACCAATTCTCATGGTAAATCTTTTATCAGGACGATGACGGACCCGAAAGGTTTTCAGGGCTTCTCGCACTTTCAGTGACATCCGGGATATTTCACGAGCGTGCTTGTGTCCGTTCGGTACAGGTGCTCCAGATACTACCATGTATGCATCTCCAATGGTCTCAACCTAACGCGATTAACGACATAAAGTAGATACAGAAATCCCTCTCTCAATACAAGAAATAAGTACAAATCAAGTAAAGTATTTTTACAACTAAAAATACGAACAACAGAAACTAAAAGAATAATGTACGGTTGACGCAGTAAACATCACGTAGCAGCTGTACACGTAAAAACACCAATAATGCACCTCAAAAGTAACTACCACTATATAATAATAATAATAAAAAAAGATACAGAAAAATTTTCATTTTCGGTTTTAAAATCAAAATGTTCTTGGTTGATTAAACGCCTCCAACTGCACATAAACGTTTTAATATGATACGGTACGTGTACCCTACGAAATATTTAAACAGAAATACTCTATAGACTAAAACATTGATTAGTTATAGCTGGAAATGTAATGGAAAAAACGAGAAAATAATAATAATATAGCACTTGAATGTCTAAAGAAATATACAATATCATAAAGGAAATCTTACAACCCTAAAATCAGGGGTTCGATTCTCCTCCGTGGACACAGCAGATAGCCCGAAGTGGCTTTACCATATGGAAAAACACCCCTTCCTCAATGTATACGTTTCTCCAAATCAATTATATCTTAAATAGTTCAATGTTAGAAAAAAACAACAATAAACCTTTGTAATCAAATTTAGGAAAACCAACCGACAATGTTTTTTTGTTTTTTTATTGTGATAAAAACTTTTATAATTTTCGAAAACAAGTATTTTATTTTTTTTAGTATGACAAATTAACCAATACCTTGTACACGTCGTGCTCAGCAAGGATGGCATCAAAACACGAGTAAATGTCGTTCAAGACATCTACCACCTGTTAATAAGAACGAAGAATCTAAATAATATATGTAAAATCTAAGGGCATAATTGTCGATAAGAAAAAGAAAATTTTACTATCATAACAAAAAATACTTTACTATTTGGAGGATTTCATTTAATTCGATAATAACGTTTATTATTAATAAAACTGAACAACACTGGCCCCATCTATTGAAGTTCTAGTACACTATGAAAATTCATTGAGTCTGCTAAAATTTGAATATATATATATTTAGCTTGATTTCGAAAAACTTTCAAACAAATAATGTTACAATTGAAAATAAAATAAACAGATGAATGAAACTGCATATTTAAAGTGCCTCGCAGAGATGACTAAACAATAAATTATTCGGTTAAAGTTCGTAAACGCAATGGACGGTAATGATAAAACACTTTATTTCTTCAACATATATATATTTAGAACACGTACTTGTCAAACATATTTAATCTTAATACTAAATATTTTAACTCTGCAATAATGTCCACCGAAATCATCAATATTTACGGCGTTCGACTCGTAATCTGCGGGTTGCGGGTTCGAACTTCCGTCATCGAACACGCTCTCTGTTTTAGCCGTGGGGGCGTTATAAGGTGACGGTGAATCCCACTATTCATTGCCTTCCTTCTAGTCCATCACAGCTGAATTACGGACGACTAGTACAAATAGCCCTCAAATAACTTTGCGCGAAATAATAATAAAACCGAAAACTTAACCTAGTTGTTACTAAATAATGAAAGTTTGTTTCATATCTTAAGTAAGAAGCTAATTATGCTTTTATCTATCATACATCCTTTATTTGATTTGAACTTACGCAATCAAATACACAATTCGGAACTTTGAGTGTTTGTTTGTTTTGTAATTAAGCACAAAGCTACACAATGGGCTATTTGTGCTCTGCCCACCACGGGTATCGAAATCCGGATTCTAGCGTTGTGAGTCCGCAGACATACCGCTGTGCCACTGGAGGAAGGCCGGAATTTTGATACTTTTTGTTTTAATCTGTGTTTGCACAGCAAGATATTCGGAGTGGTGAGTATTCCCGTATATAACTGGGATATTTATAAAACACAAATATATTTTGGAATCAATGATAACCAAAATCGTCCAAAATATTTTATTTTAGCATTACTTTTGTATGCTGTTTATTCAGATGATAATCCATATAATGAGATTTTGAAATTTGATTAGAAACTGTATTTGTTTTTGTTTGTTGTTAAGCACAAAGCTACACAATGGGCTATCTGTGCTCTGCCGACAACGGGTATCGAAACTCAGTTTCTAGCGTTTTAAACCCGCACACATACCGCTGTGGCACTAGTGGGCAAAACTTTATTTGAACACCTATATAAACAATTTCCTTTGGGACATAAGATAAAAATATAATTTAACGCCTTTTAGAAGAACTTAAACAGCTATACATTAATTAAAGTTGGTTCTTTTCCTACCTCCATTGGAGTAGATTGGGCAGACAATGCTGTGAAGCCGACAATATCACTAAATAAGATGGTCACACAATCAAAAGCTTCCGGGATAACACGATTTCCGGATATCAACTGGTTAGCGATGTACCTGAGGAAACAAGTAAAATAAAACCATTAAGAGTAGAAATTTCTAAAAAGAAACTCTTAAGAAACAAATAAAACTATAAATAATGAAAATGCATAAAAGAAACCTACAGTTTCCCTAATAAAGTGACAACGACTGTTCAAGAAAAGCACAAAGTTATCAGTGATTAAACCCAGACTTTCTCAAACATATCCAAGTGAGGGACATACTTCCAGATTCCAAATACACTTCCTCTTAGTGCTATAATGCCGTACTTTGATTGTAGGTCTATAAATGTGGACGTCTATATGATGCAGAATGATACTACAAAACACCAAAACCTATCTTTTTGTTTATTTAGTCCCCACGGTGGGACAGCGGCAAATCTACGGACTTTCAATGCTAAAATCCGGAGTTTAATTCCCTGCAATGAAAAAAAAGCAAATAGCTAAATGTGGCTTTGCTCTATAACAAAACAAACAAACAAAAGACTACTGTAAATGGTCCCACAGATACATTTCGACTTACGTTTTGGGCTGCAGCTGAGTCACTTCAAGACGTGCGTATGTTTTCTGAGACAGGAAGCATTATCCTTCAATAATAACACATTGATTTGCTTATAAAAACAACAAAATTATCTCTATATTTAAGGGTATGTAGACGTACAGGAAATCTATGTCCAGGGTAAAAATGCAGTCCACACCATAAGGCCATTACAAAGTTTTAAAGTTGGTAATTCACTATTGGGCAATGTTATACCATTTCATCTTGAAAAAATAAAATAATAAAATGTATATGTTGTATTATACTTGCTGTATTGCGGTGTTTATACAAAACCTAACTTACTTTAGTAATTGTAAAAGTACATTTAAGTAACGCAACCTGGAAAGGGTCATTAGAAAGCAAATTGATTTTTGTTTTTATCTCTTACCAGAGGCCTGGCATGGCTTGTTTGTTTCTTTATTGAATTTCGCGCAAAGCTACACGAGGGCTAATTTAGCAGTGTAAGACTAGAGGGAAGGCAGCTAGTCATCACCACCCACG